AAATACCAGCATAACCACTGCTGTCTTGATACAGCACCATAGCTGGGTTCCTGATTTTGTTAAGAATCTTAGTGACTGAGCTTTGCAGTCCCCTCTCTTCATGGCATAGCAAACTAAGAGAAATGCCAAGGCACTGCCTAAGTGCGTCCACTTAGGTAGCATTTTGTTTCTGTTGTGAACTGGCTTAACTGGCTTGGGCTATATCAAATTCACAAAAACTCGACTAGAAAGAATGGAGCAGGATTTTAAAGGATTTTAAACTCTGAAGTTCTCAAGCAGAAGCTGAGGATAAAAAAATGCATATCGCATGTGAACATCTCGTTTCTACTAATGCGCAGAAGGTACCACAGAGAAGCCAGTGCAGAGGGAAAGACTTCCTGTTTCCCAGGGTTCCTCTGCAGGTGTCCTGTGGGGTGGAAAACATTACCCATTAAGTTCAGTGAAATGTACTTCTTGCATTTGTGATCCTCTCTCCCATAACGACACTAATTTAGCAAAGAGCTCTCTTAACCAATGAGACTAATCTAGCAGGGAGCTTTGCATTCACTTTTGCCTAACGTGCTGCTCAGGGTAAAAAAAGCAGAGGTTTCCTGAACTATAACAGAAGGTAAAGACAGCCCAGTGCTAAAACTGGAGCTGCTTATAAATGAATCCAGCGCTTTTCAAACAAATTGAATGACATCTCTTTCACCGCTACTTGGAGGCTTGGTATGCCAACCATAGGCCAAAGAAGTTTTATAGCCTCGTTCTTTGACTGTAAAGAAGCCTTTTTAGCCAAGAAAGTGACTGAGAAAAGCCCACTGCCATCAAACCAAAGAACTTCAGGGCCTTCTCTGAAGCACACTGGTTTTGTATTGTGTTAGCGCACAAGCAGAATTTCTCTCTAATTGCTTGACATTGTTTTATTTATTTTTCTTTTTTTTTTTTTGTGAGAAACAGAAGTAAAATAGGAATGAGATGCAGTAGCATCCTACTTCAAGGACATGGGAACCGCTCAGGTTCCAGTGCTTTTGTGGTGATTTGTTTGGCATTTTTTATTAAGCTGTTTGTGGACAGGAAAAAAACCCAGTACGTGGCTCAGACCCCAGACTATTTTGAGGGTGGGTTTGTTTGGGATTTTGGGGTGCATTTGTGGTTTGTTTGGTGTCTTTTTTTTTTTTTTCTTTCTTTCTGAGGTCTGTGGATGAAGCAATTCAAGAGAGAGTCAAGTTCAGGGAAATCTCTGAGCAGGGTAAATGTTTTCTGATGCAGGCTGTGTTGCTCTAGAGCCTCCAAGAGTTGTTGGGGGTTTTTTTTTTTTCCATGACCTAAAAGCAGAAGACTGCATAATACTTATACCATTTCCAAAATTATTGATGTTCAAGTGTTTTTCTGTGTTTTTTTTTTTTTGAACCACCGTGAGGGAGCATGTCAAAGTGTAGCATAAATAATGTGAACGTCTCAAGCCGTCCTTCAAGGACTGTGCTTGAAGTGAAGGTGTGGACATGTGTGTCCTGAGGACAAGCATGTGGAGTGATTGTAACATTCTGAAAAATGGTGTGTGAGGGTAGATTTTTTTTTTACTTCTTTCTTCTGATTCTTCACATTCTTTCAGCTGTTTTCAGGAACCTGTGAAGATCTTTCTCACTAGACGTTGCAACAAGCACAGTTATTACACTTTGTTTGCATTCCTGATTGCTTGTTGGGTTTATCTTTTCTAGTTGGTGGAAGCAGACTTCCTTTTCTTGTAGTCAATGATATTTCCTTATCTGTCCTTGAAAACAGTCCTCCTGAAAGGTCTGGACTCCTGAAATCCATAGCTTTACCAGTGGCGTCTTTTGCTACTTTGTAGGACATTTCAGTTATGTTGTAAGAATCTTAAAACGGAGAAGAGGCAAGAAAATAGGAGAGCTGCATGAGAATTTACAAAATCTTGCTTCATAAATTAAAAACAATTTTAAAAACTGCTCAGGGTTTCAGAGGAAAATGCTGTGCTGCTTTGTCCTGAGGATATCTTAGAACGGTTTGCTATGAAGTTGTGCAGCTGTGGAAATGCCCAGGCTTCTCTGGAGTTCTGTGGGGAGGTTTCCTCTTTGTTCCGCTGGCATTCGGTGCAGCTTTCGCTGGTGGCCATGCACTTCTTCTGGGGGCAGTTGCAGAGGAGAGGTGCCAAACTAATGCATTGGCTCAGTAGCCATTAATGAGGTCCTCTCCGGTCTTGCAGCTTAGGGTTTTCACTCCTGGTATACTCCAGTCAAAGAGTGTAACGACTTTAGGAGGGTGGACTATTTGTGAAATTTAACAGAGTGATGTTTGCGGAAAAAGCAGTACTGCATACCCGAAGCCTGTTTTAGGACTATTTTTGTTTTCAGTTTGTTTTTATGCAAGTAAAAAGTTATGGGTGGAAGAGTGAGTAGAGTGAAGGTTTGTTTTGTGGTTGGCTGTGTTTATTTTATTAGTCAAATGTTAAATAATGAGCTCTGGACTTGCTATATGGCTGACTACATATGGCAGGCCCTTTGCGGGCCGAGCAACCATTTTCCTCTCTGCAGGCCTGACATTGCGCCTGTTAAGCTATGAGCCTCCGCAGCGGACAGAAAGTGCTCAGAGGCCTTGTACGCTTTAATGATACAAAGAATGGGCCAGGCGCTACTGCAGCCAGTTACAGCATTCTCTTCAAACGCTTGAGAACTTGTTGTGCCGTAGGCATAGCAAGCCCAGCCCAAGCTCCGAAAGGAGGGCGCGAGTAGCATGAAATGACCAGTTGAAGTTCACGTGCGCTGCAAAGCTTGAAATTCCCCAACCCCGATAGCCTCACATGTATTGAATGGTGAGGCAGTGCTAGGACTGGTCGATATTTGTTGCTCCTTTCTCCTTCAGATTGCTGGCAAAATTAACAGCTAACTGGCAGTGCAAACACTCTGTGGCCTTACGCTGATGCTTCTGCACGTGGAAGGGGCTGGAGGGGAAACCGCTGAGTCCGTTGGTACGAAGATGCATTAGATATCCCAGCTTCTGCTTGCCTTGGGGCACTTACGTGTGGATTGCAGACTTCAAATGTATTATCAGCACATGAGCTGACTTCGGCAAAACAGCAGGAGTTTGGCTGTGTGGTGTGTTTGAAGTAGTGCAGTTCTTGATGCACATTTTCAAACTGTACAATTATGCCAGATCAAGGTGAATGATAACTGAAAACTCATGATAAGCTGTAGGTTCCCAGAAACAAAAATGTGGTGTTGGGAAAATACTGTTCCCTTCTTTTTGAATTAAAACACGGGTACAGATGAATCTTGGTTTTCAGGCTTTCATGATACGATCATTCAGTCTAAGTTGTCCAGAGTTGCAGAATATGTGAGGGAGGGATAAGGAAACTGTTTTAGCTACTGTTTGTAAAATATTTAATAGTGAAAGTAAAGAGCAAACTGTGTAGGTATATATTCTGTTATATGTGCCTGCCAGCTTCTCAAATTTCATTTTACTGTAAGTGTTAAACAGTCTCTTTGAAGAATGGAAGTGGAATGCAACAACATGATTGAGTATTTAATAATTTAAGCTGTGTAGAACACGTGCACAGATTGACTTTTGTTTTCTTCTTTCACTTCGGTACAAAGCTGTGAGTGTAATAACGAAGCTTTACACAGCAAAAGAAGAAAAAAGAAGGAAAAAAAAAGAAAAAGAAAAATAAAAGTTCTTTATATTGTTATGGTTTGTCAGTCTGATTCTTCTTTGTTTTGAATAGAATGATACTTTCACAGGATTTGGTAGGACTTAACTTTGTTCTGGATTTTTTTTTCATATATAATCAGGGAGGCCACTTTGAGGCTCCAGCACTGGCAGGAATGTTGCCAAGTTTTTCCTCCCAATGTGCAGGGAAAATGGAAACTGTCCACCCAGCTGGTGCCGCCAAGATGACACAATGACTCCCTTGCTTCACAGCCCGCTGCAAAGGGAAGTTCTCTAGAGCTGTTGGTAGTCCACCCACCAGGACTTTAAGGACCAGTTTTGAGTTGCTGATCAAAAATCCTGATTTTGGTCTTCCGAGTGATAGATTCTGTTTTTCTAGGAACACCCTAAGCAAGAGCATCTCTGCCATATTTTTGTGTGGAAAATAATAGCTTAGTGGAGAGAACTCACGGCCGGTAACGCAGGGCTCCAACTGTTCCAGTCATCTTAAAAACCTGATTTGGCTTAAAACAAAAGTTGAATTTAAAGGAGAATAACTCTTTAGATAAACTATTGGTTTTTCTTACTTTTTCAGAGTAAGTTACAGTGTAGGACAATATTAAGAAGTTTATAGCCAAAAGGTTTTGTGTTTCTTAGTGACTTTTCAGTTAAATGTGCTGCTTAGCAGAATAACTCTGAGTGGATGCTACGATTTGTTTTTACAGTGTTGCTTTGTTACTTTTCACCAGTAGAGAACTAAGTAGATGGTTTTATGGTTTTCCTGACGAAGTCTGATCTCTTCCCACCTCTTCTTGCACATTTTGTTTTT